CTACCTTGATGTGTTTGTAAAATATTTTTATACCATTTTACGTCAGTGCTTGATTGAAAATATTAGCTTTAATTGGTTCTTTAATGGAATAATGTATTGAGGTGTATTTTATTTGAATTCAAATCATAATTTTTATTATGATTACAAGTGAAAATGCATTAGGGAGATGACATTTTTAAAACCTCCGTAAACATTCACCATTACAATTGCAGGGAAAAAGAGACTGTAAATTACAAAATGCATTTTTCCAAGTAACCATGAGAAGCAGGGAGACAACAAAAGGTCAGCTGCGTTACAATATGCAAAGCAATTTAAAGTGAATCATATTTCCACAAATAGGCCTGTGTCAGTTGGAGTCTGGTTTTGGATGCAAAGTAAATTACTAGACCACATTTTTGTTATTTTTTTTAATGTATTTTTCTAATTGCATTTGCAGGTTACTAAGTGTAGTAGTGAAGGAAGACAGATTTTGTCAAGGATGTATAATGCTCCAACAAATTAAAGACATAAACATTAGAAGATAAATTAAAACACAATAACATACATTGATATGTATACGTAGAGAACAACATCAGGATATAATAAAAGTGTCCAAATTATATCAGATTATTTCTTGGGAAACATTTGAACATCCATCCTGCCACACCTTAAAAACAATTATGGAATTTAGTGTTTGAGTTAATGAAGAAGAAAATGGGACCCGGAACTCACATTAGGCTTTGATTTAAATAAATAGCTGTGTACACATAATAGCCTTGAAATATGTATTGGTGTTATAAAAGGTCTTTTTGATAAACTGTAGAGAAAACAGTAAATATGCTATCTATAAACACAAGTTAGCAAGTTAGAAATATTTATTTATTTATTTATTTATTTATTTATTTATTGTGTAAGAAGCAAGTTGAGGGTACAGTTAAAATGCATTTAAAAATTCAAAGTTTTAAAAACTTGGCATTATGCTAAATGTCCTTTGACCAGAAACTGGCCACTTGGAGTTCCTCTGGCGTTGCTGTGAGAAGGTCCTCCACTGTGCATATGGCAGAGCGCAGGTTGCATTGTAGTAGGTGGTTTGTGGTTTGCTCTTCTTGACACTCACATGTCGTAGATTCCACTTTGTGGTCCCATTTCTTAAGGTTAGCTCTGCATCTTGTGATGCCAGAGCGCAACCTATTCAGCACCTTCCAGGCCACCCAGTCTTCTGTGTGCCCAGGGGGGAGTTTCTCATCTCAGTCACTGATTAAGGTGCCGGGTTTTAACCTGCCACTTTTGGATTCTCGCTTGCTGAGGCGTTCCTGCAAGTATCTCTCTCGGTCTTAGGAAGCTGTTTCTTGATTTAATCCATTGGCATGCCAGCTGATATCCAAACAGAGGATGGGCCGGAGTTGTCACTGCCTTGGTCCTTTCATTATTGGTTGCTACTTCCCAGCTGATGTGAGGTGGTGCAATACCAGCTAAACAGTATAATATCTCCAATGGTGTGGGGCGTAGACATCCTGTGATAATGCGGCATGTCTCATTAAGAGCTACAGCCACTGTTTTAACGTGATGTGATGTATTCCACACTGTGCATGCATATTCAGCAGCAGAGTAGCAAAGCGCAAGGGCAGATGTCTTCACTGTATCTAGTTGTGATCCCCACGTTGGTTAGAAGCGATATATAACCTTTTCTTAGTTTAATTATTGTAGCGGTAGTAGGTTAATTGTGGAGTATGTATATTTACGTTGTTGTTTTTTTTGGATTGTGACATTTGTTATGTTTTTATGTTATTTTTCTTTATGTGTATTTATAATGTAATTTTATGTAGTAAAAATATATATGTTAATATACTTTTTAATTCTAAAATACAGGTCTTTGGTCCCAGAACAATGTTGAATTAAATGTAACCATGAGACATATGTGTCCTCCTGGAATGTTTTACAGCATAACTTCCTTGGGCTGTCTTTATTGGTCAAAAATATTTTAAAAATACAATGAATTATCTGTTTTGTAAACAAGAAATAAAAAATTCTGAAACATTGCACCCTACTATTTAACATAAAATACTAGTTTTTTCCAAACCAGAAGTGGGATATTTTGCTACCACTGGCTTTTGTTTGTTTGTTTGTTTCTACTGGGGGCATTTTTGGTAGTCTGTGCAGCTCCTGAGTAGCCATACAGGCAGACCATTGGGCCCCAGACATGCCAGCTTTGATCAAGAGTTTACTAAATCTCTGGAATGAATTGTCTAGAAAAGTAGGCTTGCTTTATTCTGCCTCCACTGAATGAGATGAAGGGCTTGTCTAAATGAATAGTCTATAAATTATTATGTCAGTACTAAGCCTCTAAAATGTTACGCACATTTCACAGTAGTGCATATGGGAATTGCATTTGTGGTTTGAGGATATCATTAGACCTGCTTTTTATGTAAGATCTCCATTTTAAACTACTGCAGGCATGGTGCTAAATAAAATCTCTGCCTTTGGGGGCCATATACCTTGTGATATATGGACCACAAGAAAGAGAAGCTACAATCCATAAACCAAGAACTCAAGTACAGTCTTGGAGCTATCATTGAGGCCACTGGGGATATTCAAGAATACTCTAAAGAGTGTGGTTTGATAGATATCACCCGAATCCAAGAAATAAAGCCTAGCATATGGAAAGATCTGCTGTTTTTCTTGGATGTGTAAGAAGGAATTGTTGAGTTCAGAGTGGTGGATAGTTGAGTAGAGGCTGAAGTGACAGGTCTTCCATTTGGAAGCACAGTAGGCCCTTCATGCCCATAACTTCTCCATCCATGGATTGAAAATATTAAAAAAAACCCATTGTATATAATGGGATAAACATCCATGAATGTTGGTGTTCATGGGTCCTGGGAGCAAATCCCAGCAGGTACCAAGAGCCATTGCACTTCTGAATACATCCCAGCTTCAAACTTTTAAGGTGGAAAGGATGATCAGGGATGTTTTGGGAAACTGTCTTACCCACTGGGGATGCAGTGGTGAGGATGGAACTTGGTTCAGGCATCTATGTTCTAGTTGTCTCTGGCACATACTTCTCATGGTGTAACTTTTCAAAGGATTCTACAACCATCAGTTGTCCCCAAATGGAGTTGACCATTTTCTGAACACAAGAAGTTGATTGGATCATATTGTATAGATACAAATACCACCTTCATTTTTGTTCCAAACGCTATTCTAAGTTCATTGGATAGAATCATATAACTGGAAGAGACCATAAGGACCATCCAGACCAACCCACAAAATATACCACTGTTGAGCCACTCTTAGTAGGATGCACTTCCTAATGCTTAGGTGAAATATTTCCCCAGCAATTTGAATCCATTGCTCCATTTCCTAGTTTCCAGAGCAGCAGAAAACAAGCTTGTGGAATCCTTTCAAACATTTAACTATGGCCATCATATCCACTTCTTTTCCCCAAACCAGCTCCCTAAGCCACTCGTCATAGGTCTTGGCTTCCAGCCCTTGGATCATTTTGCTTGTGTTTCTCTGGATGTGTTCTAACTTGTCCATATCCTTCTTGAATTGTGGTGATCAAAACTGGACACAGTTTTGGTGACTTCTGACTAAAGCAGAATAAGAGAGACTATGACTTCCCTGGAGCTAGATACTATACTCCTATTGATGCAGCCTAGAATCGCATTAGGCTGCAGAGGTATTTGAAACATAGGAAGGTCTCACAAACCCTTTTCAAGAATTGGGAAGAACATAGCTATCAATAGCCATTGGAAGCAGTTGAAAGTACTGCTTCCAAGTGCCTCAGAAGTTCACTGTGACATCAAGGAATGGACCTAGATCATCTTGTGGGTTAGTGGAGGAACAGGCTCTGTGGTTGACTAAAGATTACATGTTTACAAAAATTGAGGGGGAAAATGCAAGAAACCTGGCTTTAAGGGACACTGCTTGTGATATATATGTTCTCCACACATTTTGAAAACTGTTGAAGTCTATACTCTTGGTGTAGGACTGGGACACACCACTATGTCTAGAATGATAAGTCATTTAGATTCCAACTTTGTAATCTCCCATCTTTCAGCATGGATCTAAGAAACTGTCTGCTTGTAATGCAGTCATGAACTTGAAGGTCTACCAAGAATAGCCACCTTAACTATCATCTACACTTGAGGCCACTTGTATCTATACAACATTACTGTCATGGCTCAATGTGATGGGATAATAGAAGTTTTAGTTCTACAAGGTCTTTAGCCTTCTCTGACAAAGACTTCTGGTGCTCCCCTAAATTAGTCTCCCGAAATTTTATAGCACTCAGCCACAACAATTAAAGTGGTATCATACTGCATGAATTCTTCAGTGAAGATGCACCCATGATGGCTCATAGTTGCTACCAGTGTGTGTTCATTATTGTAGAAATAGGTGGACTCCGTGGCAGCTTTTAAAATTAAAGGGATTTGCCGGGAGTATTTTTTATTTTTCATTAGTAATAAACTTCTTGGACCAATGCAGATGCAAACTAATGCTGATTTTCACCTAGAGAAGCAAGCATTAATCCCCGGTGCCAATTGTTAGATTTGGATCACTACTGGATATATATGTGTTTACGGATCAACATGAAAATGTGGAATCATGGCAAATGGTGGTTAAAGTGTGTGAAGAGAATGATTGTGAATGAAGAAAGAGTGGGGCTAAAGGGAAGGGAGCATGTGATTTTAAAGACTTATTCCTTAGCCCTGGCTCTGCATCAACATCATGTCACATCTGTTATCGGCTTTTTGGAATTGGTTACTTAGTGTTTTGGAATGTCAAAACAAAACATTGGCTTTCCTAAGTATTATAAAAATATATTCCATGATCCAACTAAGCCTGCCTCTTGCAGAATTACATTTCCAAAGAAACACCCCATATAGCATGTGTTTGGAAAAAGTACCACTGTAATACACAATTTCAGGGAAACACTTCTAAATTGGCAGTCTTGTATAATAAAAGCAAAACACCGGCATATCAGTTGGTATTGAACATATACTTTTTATTTTCTCCTGCAGTTTGTTTGCATTGCTGTCAAAAAAACACAACAAAGTTTTAGAGCAAGCCACCGGGTCCTTGAGGAGTTCCCTCACTTCGGATGACTCTCCGCTTCCGGATTATGTGAGTACCAACTTTTGTGTTTTGGGGTAATGTGTCCAAACGGTGTATCCCAAGTCTGCAGAAGTCTGTCAAAGTGTCTGACAACCTGGAAACCATCAGCACCAAAATATAGGAAGCTTCGTTCATGACATCATGTCTGAAACTCACTGAGAGAGGGAAAAAAAAAACAGTTGCAAATAGCAAAATAAAAACCACAGCAATTCATAGCTAAAAGATTTACTGTAGCCTGACAGCTGGTAGTTCTTGAACATTTGTATTTGGTTGCCATTAAAATGGCCGTCAAACAGAGTGGGGAAGTATTGTGGCAAAGTACTGTGGTATCCTGAGGAAGTGGAACACCAAAGTACCGCCTTCCAGCTGGCATCCAACCATCTACAGCAAAAACTCATAAACCTGAGGTTATTGTGTTGTTTGGTTTTCCTTTTGGTATATATGCTAAAGGGGATTCTCCGTGAAGATGTAGCAGACCTCGGAGACCATACAACTTGCATTAAAATATTGGGCAATATAGATATTTTATATAGGAACATATCTCTTCGTGCTTCTTGTCTCTTAACTCTCAGCTGGTTTTGGCAGATATTATTGAATATATTTCTCTACTTTTAAAAGTCTAAACTTGCTAAGCCATTTTTCTTGACTTGGTGGTTTCTCCAAAGTTAAATACTTAAATTCTAACATAGTCCCTAGAATATTTCAGCCCAGCTATATCTAATTCAATCTTAATGTGTAACTTGTCTATCCCATTAAAAGCAATACAGTCTCACTAGAATAGTTTTCTGGTACACATTTGTACACTTTTGCTATTTTGTAAGCTGCCCTGAGTCCAATTTTTGGGAGATAGTGGCAGGATATAAATAAAGCTATTGTGTGTGTGTGTGTGTTTGTGTACCTGTCATATACCTATAATTTTGATCTAGATCAGTGGTTCCCAATCTTCCTAATGCCGTGACCCCTTAATACAGTTCCTCATGTTGTGGTGACCCCCAGCCATGTATTTATTTTTGTTCCTACTTCACAATGCAATGTTGCTACTGTTATGAATCATAATGTAAATATCTGATATGCAGGATGTATTTTCATTCACTGGACCAGATTTGGCACAGATACCCAATACACCCAAATATGAATACTGGTGGGGTTGGGGGAGGTTTGATTTTGTTATTTGGGAGTTGTAGTTGCTGGGATTTATAGTTCACTATAATCCAAGAGCATTCTGAACTTCACCAATGATGGAAGTGAACCAAACTTGGCACAGAGAACTCCAACAGAAAATACTGGAAGGGTTTGGTGGGCATTGGCTTTGAGTTTGAGAGTTGTAATTCACCTACATCCAGAGAGCACTATGGACTCAAACAATGATGAATCTGGACCAAACTTGGCACAAATAATCAATATGCCCAAATGTGAATACTGGTGGAGTTTGGAGAAAATAGACCTTGTTATTTGGGAGTTATAGTTGCTGGAATTTATAGTTCACCTCCAATCAAAGAGCCCTAGTGATAGAATTGGGCCAAATTTCCCACACAGAACCCCCATGACCAACAGAAAATACTGTATTTTCTGATGGTCGTTGGCGACCCCTCTGACACCCCCTCACGACCCCCCCAGGGGTCCCGACCCCGAGGTTGAGAAACACTGATCTAGATGTATTTGTGTCAAGCACATACTGATCTTTTTCATTGGGTTATTCATGTTAGGTCTTTCTGACCTTGTATGAACAACCTGAAGCTAAAGAGGCTGTACTACAGAATTGTTTTTAATACTAGTGATGTTTAATTCTGTCTTAATATTTGTATTTTTGTGTATTTAAAGTTGTATTGAAATGTTTTTAGTGTAAGCCGCTTTGGGTCTCCTTGTGGAGAGAAAAAGCGGGATATAAGTGATAATAATAATAATAATAATTATTATTATTATTATTATTATTATTATTGAAGTGTTCTGCCTTACCAAAAAAGGTGTTTCTACACTTTACCCACTTCATGGTCCCTATGCTTTCCCATTGGGGGGCTTCAGTCCGTCCCGTCCCCCGAAATTCTCATGGTGATCCGCGAGAAGGCCTTACTGGGGCATTTATTTAAACTGTTATGTTTATTCATATCATGATCTGATCACCATACTCAATATATCCCATATTCATGGGGGTATTGGGGTGACAGTACAAAAGGTTTGCTAGGGTAGACCCTCCTTCACTCAGACTCAGCCCCCCCCAATCAAACTCAGCCCCCCCCCCCCGGAATCAAAATCCTGGCTATGGGCCTGATGCCAGGTCTCACCCTGACCATCAGGCAGGACCATGCTTGCATCTTACCTATTCCCCAGGCCCTAGTTTACTCAGCTTTGCAAGCCCAACTCTCTTATAGTTGTCGAGGCCCACTTTGGAACTCTGGCCACTGACAATTGAACTTGCCCGATGGAAAGTAGTGTGGAACTGGCTTTTTACATATGTATGTCTATTATATTGCATGATGTTTTGTTTTTATTGTTTTTTTAAATGAATACTTGGGATGTCTATATGCAAGTGCAATGCTTTATCATGTTGGAAACTGCCCTGAGTCCCCTCGGGGAGATAGAGTGGTATACAAATAAATTATTATTATTATTATTATTATTATTATTATTACAGCCCAATTAATAATTATTTGCCAATACATCAAACAGTCCTAGACACTTGGGAAGTGTCAGACGTGTGATCAAATACAAAAGCTAGCTTAGTGATGTTGTTTGCTGTGTACTTATCTTGTTATGTATCTTCTTCTTATTATTATTATGGTATGTATTTATTGGGATGTATTTTAATTGTGTTGTACCATGCCTCGGGCTGTGAAGAGAGGTGATGACAATTATTATTATTATTATTATTATTATTATTATTATTATTTTACTGACACAAAAACACAGTTTGTCACAGCAAACGAGATATATATGCTGGATTTTGTATCACAAAATCACAAGTTGAACAATTCCCAAGCATCTAGGACTGTGTGATGTATTTTCGAATGATGCCCGCAGATCCAAGTAAGGTGGCTGTTTAATATTTTTTAACATTATAATAAGATGGCTTGAATCCTGGTTTTAGCAGAAAGATGGGATAAAGGTGATGGTGTCAATGATGATTTTCTTGTCCCTCTTTTAGAGTAAAATTGCATCCCTCTTCCTGTTCCTGATACCCCATAACCGGCATGCATTAATGTGGCTGCAAATGCAGTGGAAGGGGGCACTTGGTATCACAGAACTAGGCAGGGAGTATATGTGGCGCGCTTGGCCATGAGTTAGAATCATAGAATCATAGAGTTGGAAGAGACCTCATGGGCCATCCAGTCCAACCCTCTGCCAAAGAAGCAGGAAAGTCACATTCAAACCACCCCTGACAGATTGCCATCCAGCCTGTTTAAAAGCCCCCAAAGAAGGAGAGTCCACCACACTCTGGGGCAGAGTGTTCCACTGTTGAACAACTCTCACAGTTGGGAAGTTCTTGTTGTGTACCCTTGCTCTGCAGAACATTTTCCACAATGAGTTGGATGATGTGTCTCCCCTAGTGTGGTCCACGCTCTCGTTACATCCAGGATAGACTACTGCAATGCACTCTACATGCGGTTGCCTTTGAAGACTGCTCAGAAGCTTCAAATAGTCCAACAAGAGGCAGCCAGGTTAATAACTGGGGCGGTATATAAGGGAGCACACAACTCCCATATTCAGCCAGCCCCACTGGCTGCCAGTTTGCTACCGGGCACAATTCAAAGTGCTGGCTTTGACCTATAAAGCTCTAAACGGCTCCAGCCCAATTTACCTGTCCGAACACATCTCCCCCGATGACCCATCGTGGAGATTGAGATCCTCCAAGGAGGCCCTGCTCTCCATCCCGCCATTGTCACAGGCGCGACTGGTAGGGACGAGAGATGGGCCCTTCTCAGTGATTGCCCCCGGCTATGGAACTCCCTTCCTGGTGAGGTCAGGTTGGCCCCCCTCTCTCCTGTTTTTAATGGGGTGTTGTAGGTTTTTTCAGGCTATATGGCCATGGCCTAGAGGCATTCTCTCCTGACGTTTTGCTGGCATCTATGGCAAGCATCCTCGCTACCTCTGAGGATGCTTGCCATAGATGCAGGCGAAACGTCAGGAGAGAATGCCTCTAGACCATTGCCATATAGCCCGAAAAAACCTACAACAACCCAGTGATTCCGGCCATGAAAGCCTTTGACAATGCAATGTTTTTAATGTTTATGTATGCATATAACGAATTCATGTCCCAGCATTGTATGTTGTGCTTCGCCCTGAGTCCCCTTCGGGGTGAGAAGAGCGGAATATAAATATTTTCAATAATAAATAAATAAATAAGATCTCATGACAGTAATAAATGTTATCATCTGTTGCTATTTCGTGACCAGTATGTGTGGTTTCTTTTGGGGATGAAGAGGAAGGTGTCTTTAGTTTTTGAAATGCAAACAACTTTTTGAATCAGGAAACCCAGCCCAAACAGACAAGTTTCAGTATTAACTGTGGTTTGAAGAATATTTTCTCAGAAGAAAACTGGTGACCTGAAGAATGGTGAACAAAATCGAAGTGTTCAGTCTTACAGCTCAGTTAAGATAGATTTGTGAACAGGGTTAATTTCCCTTCTGCCAAAAAAGCAAAAAAAATATTCCTTACCTGCTGTGTAGGTCTGATTGGCAGGCACAAAGCTCCTGATGTAATTCAGTATCCTCCCCCTTGAATTAATAATCCAAATAACCCCCGTTATGTAGCTGCTGAATACCGTGTTTCTCTTGTCCCCCTTTTTTTCTCAGCTAATGCTCCATAAAGGAGTCCACGGAGTCCCCTGTTTAGGTTCATCTTATATTTGTCTATTGCAAATCGAAAGCAGCTGTCAGTTTCAGCATCTAGCTCTTGAAAAACTTTAAACCCCTCCAGCATCATCTGGAAATAATATAGCTTGTAAAACAAAGCTAAGAAGAAAAAGCAATGTTTGTTTTATGTGGGATGAATGACTTCAGTTGGGGTCCTTC